GCTGCTGCTGTCTGCTCTCCCTCCTTCCCAGCAGCGCACCCACAGCTAAGTTTGGGGGACAAGTCCAGTGGAGGGTGGTTGTGTTGAAACACTGGACAAAGCCCGCAGAGCTCAGTTCTTTGTGTGGGGGATGAGGGAGGGGGGGAGGCAGCAGGCAGACAGCCCTGACAGCCCTTGAACCTGGCAATACGATGACCAGATGCTGCGGTATTGACTGAGCATTTTCCCTGAGCCAGGCCCTGGGCTCAGCACCCGCATACAGCTCCTGAAGCTCACGACCGCCCTGGGACGTGGTCCGTGCTGGTCTTCCTCTCAGAGGGCTGCTGTAACGCATCACTGGACGCCGGCGGGGCTCTTACATGCCGCCGGCCTCTGTTCTCCCAGTAGGAACTCAGGGCGCTGGCTCATGGGAAGAATTTCTCGCTTGCCGGCTCGGGGGTGGGGGTGGGGGGGCAGTCCTTGCCTGTTTCCAGCTTCTGGGTCCCATCCCTTGTCCCTTGGTCATCTTCCTGCGGGGCGGCACCTCTCTTCCCCGCCTTGGCTTGCTTGCTTAATGTCATTTATGTCTTAGAGAAGATTGGTCTGCGACACACCCTGCCTGAAGGCTGCCCATTGGTGTGAGCAAGAAACCTAATTCAACTGGGACGATAACCACAGGGCAAGACCAAGCCACAGCACTGCCCCCTTGACTCCATTCTGACAGTGATTTTCTGTGGGTTTCCAAGACTAAAAATGTGACGTGGCAGATGACCTCAGCGTTCTCCTGAGACCGGCCTTGTGGTTAGCAGCCCGTGCTTGACCCACAGTGCCACCAGGCATCTCTCTCTCTCGCTGCCATAGCGTCGAAGTCCATGCCTAGCCACCCTACGGGACAGGGTAGAACTGCTGCTGTGGGCTTCTGAGACGGGCTCCCTCCATGTGAGCAGGAAGCCCTGTCTTTCTCCTGAGGGGCGGCTGGTGCTTTCGAACTCCTGGCCTTGCAGCTCAGCATGTAAGCAGTACATCACCAGGGCTCCGCCCACCAGGTAGAGGGCGTCGGAGGGACCACACATATTTGAGGAGGCACAATTCAGCCCATGGCAGTTCCCCTCCCCATCATCCAGTTTCTGAAGCTGCATCCAGAGCCCCTGAGTAATTGCCGTGAGGCCACCCGCCCAGGGAGCCGGCCAGGCCAGGCTGCTCCCTCCTGAGTGGACACTGCCAACCCTTGAGCTCGCCGGCTTCCTCTCGGAAGGCGAGCCCCAAGTGCCTCTAAGCACCTCTGTCCACCCCAGGGTTCCAGTCCAAGTCCGTGTCCTGACCTCTCTGGCCATCATGCTGACCATCTTCGTAGTGATGACCGTGCTGGTAAAAGTGGATACTTCCTCCTGGACCCGCGGCTTCTTCGCTGTCACCATGGCCAGCATGGCCATCATCAGCGGCATCGCCACCGTCTTCAACAGCAGCGTCTTAGGCCTGACGGGCGCCTTCCCGATGAGGAACTCCCAGGCCCTGATATCAGGTGAGAGCTGGGGCCCTGGCGCTCGACCAGGTTACTGCACCTGGGGTCACAGGAAGGAGCCCTAGGGGAGTGCGGTTACGAGCACTCGACTGCTGACTGAGAGCTTAGTGGTTAGAGCCCACCCGGAGGTGCCTTGGGAAAAAGGCCCAGCAACTTTGGGAACTTTCTCTCTGACACACACGGCACAGCCGTGGGTCATTACCCACTGGGCAGCAGCTGAGGGGGGGGCGGGTAGGTGTGTGTCTACTGTCTGGGAAGCCCGCTGTGTGAACAGCACTCTAGAGGGAAGCCGCGG